GACTGGATATATCCCCCCCTCTCTCTGGTCGCTAAAATGGGGAATTTAAATTACGGGCCAAAAGTTGTATTTACAAGTATTAAAAGTAAGCAGAGGACACCAAACCAACTGAGACCCGTCTGTCCGCCGCATTTACGCACTGTACAACACATACCTACACACTGTACCACACACACCTACACACTGTACCACACACACACCTACACACTGTACCACACACACCTACAGCTCCTAAAGCATAAGCCGTGTATTTTATTATGTGAAGCAATGGTCTTAGAAAAATATCGACTCTTTGTTTGTAGATATCTACTAAACTAAAGCAAATAAAGAGAGTAGGTCTGTTATACTGAGTGATATATATTATACACACTGCTCTGCTTTCTGCACGGACCTTACAGCTGTTCTCTCTGGAATGATCGCGACGCGATGAAAGCAGTTTCTAAAATAATATCCAGGGGATGCATGCAGAGCTGTCATTGGCTGAGATAAGTCCGGCCGTGCGTCACGCCTCCACCGTTCCCGGAAATGCATCCGTGGAGGAACCATCAGTGTATCCTCGGTTATAGCTCCTCCAGAGAGCCTCCTCGACGCTCGATGCTCGGTCCTCGGTGTGCATTTAGAGAAATGAGACGTCCTTCAAAATGGCGCGCTGAAATTCATTTCCGGGTCACTACCGGAGGACCGAGGAGTCGAGCAGTCGAGGAGGGGAAATTTGAGTATTGAGAAGCCTCTTCTGTGTTTGAGGTGACGACGTCATCAAACACCTGTGTGTGAGCCCAGAGATCAAAGGTTACCATGGTGACGACGTTATCAAACTCCTGTGTGCAGAGATCAAAGGTTACCATGGAGATGTGCAGTGATCAGTGAAAGGAGAGCCTTTCCATTGATGTGAATGAGAAATAAACCTCTTACATTTCCAATTATAGTTAAAACAACTATAGCTGCTATCGGTAACATTTCAACGCGTGAAGCATGTCAAGGACCCTGAGCGTCGAAGTGTGCTTTTTGTGTACTTTCGGGTCAATAATGTGGCATTTTTGGAAGATTTATTAAAAGGTGTGCAGCTGGTGCTCTGAGGAAAGATCAGGCTGAATTTACAATGGGCCTTAATGGAGACATGTTGAAAGTGTTTGTTTCTTCATGCCCTCAAGAGGCATTTTGTTAAAAAAAATCTTAATTTTTTTTAATTCTTCAACGTTGGAGAGGTTTTCCTACGTTGTTCATGAAAAATTATGTCCAAGGAGTGTAGGGTTTGGGAATTATGGCAGGTTTAAAAAAGAAGAAGAATGAAGGCGAATTTCAAGCTCTGCTGCACTCTAGCAGTGACATCTAAGCCTTAACGAGCTGTGCAATACACACTAATGTTCTAAAAATCTGAAGAAGGCCTCTTTACCAAGCTCCAAACTAAGTTAAATATCTCAAAAAGTGTAAAAGATATCAAAGATCTGAAGAATACGTTTTATAGCTGAAGGTCTTGTGACCGTATTAAAGTTGGAACGAAGTCTCTAGTTGAAAGTATGTGGAAGGAGTAGCATTGGGCGCACGGTGTAGGAAAAGAGGATTTGAAGGTTCCTCCCATTGAGTTACATGTTAAAAAAAGAGTTTAAAAAGCAATATATTTTTGAAAAAGTTGAACGTTTCCCATCATGTGCAGAAAAGGCTGAATATTTTTGATATTTGAATGGTTTCTGTAGCTGAAAGTATGCTGAAGTTTTTCGAAGGCAAAAAATGTACGGAAGAAGTAAGAATAAGAAGATGAAGTTGAAGAATAAAGATTTGAAGAACTATAGTGGAATGTTGTAAACAGCATTCACACTAATTAGCATTGCATTTCCTTTTTAACAAGGAACACAACCTTGAACAATTCCCCAGGAAACTGAATTCCAAGAAACCTATTCTGCAAACTTCTACACTTCCTTTATCAAAAGTAATTTATAAAACAGAAAACCGTCTACAAATGATCAATAACAATTTTTAACTCAATAGAGTACTTCCAGAGCAGAAGTACCCATGTTGAACACTCTCAGATATATATATATATATATACACACCTTGGTGGCGCAAATGTCTCCCCAATTCTCCACTAACAGAAGAAGCCATTTCTCTGGTGAACAAGGACCTCAATGACAAATCTATGCTGTAGCGCGGCACATTAGGAGAAAAATTATACTTTCTTTTTGACTATTCCTTATTCAATTATATGCATAGAAATACTTCGCTTCAGTTTTGGACCTGAGCGACTCTTTGACTGAGCAACTTCACGCATGGTTCTGGTTTAGAGGCCCCCTGAGAGGTTTAGCAGTAGGCCCATTCAGCAATCCCTCCATGGAGAAAACACACCTGGGTATTTGTGATGACATGTTACACAACAAATGTCATTTTGAGCAGATACTTGCTAAGCAGCTGCTGTTAACAGATTTAAATCTTCTGACTTCCGACAACATCTATTAAAACACTCACATGTGTTTTGAATATGATGGACTGGCTGATTATAAAGTTGGTGATACGCCAGCCAGATTAAATACGTTTGTCCAAGTCCTTTTGAAGTAATACATTATTTGTCAGTTTGATTAACAGTGCATTTTGTTCATGGTTTTATTGCCAAAATAAAACAGTTGAAGGGAAATTTGACAGATTCCTTTGAAAGGGAGTCTGACGTGATCCTGGTTTGAGTTATTCTAAAGAGGTCGTCTGGGTTTTGGAGTTAAGCAGGAGTAGCAAAGAAAAAGCAGCGTCCATATTAGTGCAATAAACCTACACCATGCATGTTTGTTCAGATGGCTTTCCTAGTGGTGAAGAGGGAGATCAAATAGGCACATACATTCTCAATTGTCCATACATGTTACTGATGTGGGGCTCGCTCGCTGGATCCTAGAATAACTCAAGTCTATGGTTCCAGTGGGCCTTTGGACCAACATAGACTAAATGCTCCCTCTGCTCCACTGTTTCACAGAGATGATTCAGACCCTCTTAATGGACACCAGACAGATCCACCATCCCAGAGCACAGATTTACACTCTAGTTTGACATTTGGGAGAAGATCAATCCCCTGATCTAAGTCATTAAACCTTTTCTTCATTAAAGAAAATATATAATGTAAAGTCTGATTTATATGAATAATAATAATATATTTTGGCTAGTCTAGATTTAGTAAACTGTTATAACCAGATGACTGAAGGAGGACATTTGAGACTAGACTCAGAAGACAAAGACTAAAAAAATAAATAATAACTGACAAATTAAGAAATACAAATGTGGATGAAAATTACCCTAATGACATTGTAGACTAAACTCCTACAACTATGAGGGATAAAAATGAATAAAATGTTACTCAAACTTATAAGCATTTCTGCCTTAAGAGCAACACTAATACGACCTCTAAAAAATGACTTAGATCTGATCCTGGCTATCTGTTCCAACGTATGCAGTCTTTAAGCTAAGCTAACGTACTCTAGCCTCATTTAGCATACAAGAGAGTGGAATCAATCTTCTCATCTAGTTCTTGGCAAGCAGGCAGATCATGTCGAATAAGCTTTTTCCATCACGTTTCCCTCTAGAAGGCTGTTATACTTGTGTGATCAACGCACTCAAATCCACAGATCCGCTCAACTTGTTTAAAATGCCTGACCACACGAGAGTCTACATATGGACCAACAGATTCTGAATATGACTTCAGCTCAGATATCTCACTTTGGCCTGTAAGAGAATAACATCATACAGGAGGAAGCCTAAGATCTCCTTCTCCTCGTCTGAGTGAGGCGGACAGGGAAAAGTGGAGTCAACACTGATGGCTCACACATGTGGCTGTGAGAAGGCAGCTCAGGCGGTGAATTCAAACAGCGAGGAGGAGGAGGTCTTCTGGCCGAGGGACACAAGGCATGACTGAGTGTGTAAATATGGACAAGGTGTTGATGTAGTGCTGAGCGTGGACGCACAGTCATGCATACATCCTCCTAAGCAAAGCTCTGCATGAGGTTCCTACATTAGAAACATGTGTGGTGGTGTCTAGCTTTGTTTTCATGCCCTGTCTTCCTGCATGGATTGTGTTTACTTAAAAGAAAAAAAGGACAATAGTCTTTCTCTTTTGCTATTGAAAATCCAGACTGTTGAGCCTACAACAATTCATCAGCATATTTTGCAAGGATTTAGATGGATATTTGCTACATATGCTTAGGTTTGGCGTTTGGGCATTCACCAACAGTGAAAAGAGAGGTTGGAGCAAAGCACAACACACAAGGGGACCGGAATGTAAAAATGTACTTGAATTAACTGAAAACACATTGCTTAAGAGGTTGAAGATCCAAGAAAAAACCTAAATACCAAGACTGGACTACACCATGACAAGGTAGCAGGCCCTAAATATATTTTTATTTTACTCTAAACAGGAAGATCATTTACAAAAAGAACATCATAACGTTATGCCAAAGACTTGAAACTAGCGATTTGGGCAACACACTCATGTTTACAATGTCCACTGAGGTAATATACCAAGTTAAAGTAAGGTGCTTTCCTCATAGACCTCTAAACAATCAACCAGACTTCTTTCTGCAACCACCATAGTCGACCCTGCTCCATATCAGCGATTTCAATTTCAAATAACTTTTGAAATTGAGACCCCGTTTCCTGCACCTTATAAACCTTAACTGTCAGAACAAGTGTCCAATTAAGGCAGAAAATAAGATCTAGAGCATCTTTCAATGGGATCACATCAGGCGTGATGCCAAACCGGACCAGGTGCATCAAGTGGATGGACCAACAGCATCTAAGCCCTGTTCTTCAAATGAATCTCAACCACACAGCTCTGTTACTGCATGTTGAACTGTTGTAGTCAACAAACACAACATCAGTGCAGACACACAAACACACCCACAGACTCACATGGTGAAAATAACATCATTGTTGCTGTCGTTATAAAGAGTACAAACCAAATCAGTACATTTTGAGATATGATTGAAGCTCTTTCTAGATCTCTATGGCGAGGCTAAAAGAAACACACAGAACACCCTTAGTCATTTTAATATATTTGTATATATTCATATATTACACATTTAATACAGGCACAATGAGCAATCATAAAGTTGAGACAGAAAGTGGCTGAGATATTGGTAAAAATGTACAATTTAAGAGAATCATTTACACAATAATGCTCTCTTTAAACTCTGTCCAATACAACATAGAAAGAAAGAAAGGATGTGAAAGTGAGGGAAAAAGGAGCCTCTTTACTTTGTTTTGTACTTTTCGTTAGGAGAGCAAGAACCAGCTTGCTAACACTGAACATGAAATCTGTTTACTTGTTGTTCTTTTTATGCATTTGGCTGTTCTGATCAAAACCACAGGTATGCTTTATAAAGGGAACACAGAGCTACACGCTGATGTCTCACTGTACAAATGTCTGGTGCTACGATTGTGGGATTTTGTGTGAACTCATTCGTTTCAAACACCTGGTTAAAGTTCAGAGTGATACCACATTTCAGCACAACAGACTTAAATGGATCTTTCCATCTGCCACTTAAGGATTATTGTTTGCCTCTAGAATATTAATAAAGGCTTGAATCGTGTTCCAGAATTGTACAAAGCTGGTAATGATGTGAAGAATGAAATCAAATAAATGATCATTTGACAAAGGGTGAATCAAGTATGGATATGAGCTTAAAGGACCTGCCATATTGAGCCTTTTCTATGGCTGACGGTTCAAAGGAAGCCTGATGTGAAAAGTTATTTTCTAAAATCCTATCCAAGAGGTCAGTGTTAGAAACCCCTGCCCTAAAAAGTGTCATCAATTTTGAATCACAGCTTCCACGTAACTGACTACATCTACCAGCATTTTAACCAATTAAAGGATCGTTACATGGTTTGGACAATGAAATACATAAAAGTACTCCATCAAGAAGTACAGCAGCCTCTACAGCAACCTTCATTAGTAAAAGACAGAAATGAAGCACGAGAGTCAAACATGGTCATGTTCATCCATCCATCCATTTTCTATACCCGCTTGTGCTGTGTATAGTTAAAAGAGGCTTCTCCCAGCATGCACTGGGTGAAAGACAGGCCAGTAATGTATCACAGGTCAATGGCAGTACTGTGTCACAATATCTAACCACAGTCAACAACACAGGATCACTCAGCGTCAAAACGTTGCGATAAGGCATTTCCATCATTAGTTTGGCCTTATTGTGCTTCTACTCACTTACATTGTGAGAGAGGGTACAAGTCAACAGACGAGTGTTGAATAGAAAACATACAAGCTATAAAACAGTTTGATGATTAAATTCAATCAAATAAGGCCAATATGACTCATTCATTGCTGGAAGGCAGTTGTAAAAAGAGGAGATTTTCCCTTCAACATCCAAATAGTAGAAGTAAAAAAAAAGACTGGCACATTGTTGGTGCTATTCTCATTGACTGTGTTGTAGTATACAAACAAGATGAGAGAAAAGTTAGATTCAGGCACATTTCTCCATTAATAGGGCACCAAAGTTTGATAAAAAAAACACCAGTTTAAAAAAAGGCTGCAAGTTATTTAGGGTAATCTCTCTTGATTCGTTTTTTAAAGCAACTGACATTTGACAATGTTTTACGGTCAAAAAGTATAAAAATGAAGGGCTTAAGAATTGTAAAAATATAAGCCATGACTGAAAGGGGAAACATATAGAATTTAAAAAAGATCCCGCTGATCACAGACCCCACTAGGGGCGATTCAAAGCTACCCACATGTGGGCCAATCATTGACGCACGTTTTTTGCCTTTTGATCCACAGAATAAGAGGAGGCACTGAGGTCAGATTTTTTGCATTTGTTAAAAAGCACTTGTTATTTAAGAGATCAAGCTTGTGCCATAGTGTAAGTGTGTGTTGAAGACAGATTATACCTTCATTGCTTCATTGCACGTGATGAGAAAAAGACAAATCATGGAAAGAGAAAGGTTCAGTAAACAGAACTGATTTGAGCGTTGAGTCAGAGCTGGTCGAGCAGAATAATCAGAGTTAATATTTACAGTTCACAGAAAAGAGGAAAGAGCAGATTATTTTCTTCCACGCAGACATGGTTTTGTTTTATATTCCCTATAGACTCTTGAGAAATGACTATAAGAGGAAGAAGAGCATGTTAAAGATTGTTAGTGCACTTTTTTTTCTGATTTCAAATACAATATAGATTTATATCTAATTCATAAATTGTTTCTGACTATACACAAGTGAGTTGATCAGAAAGCATTATTAGACTTCATATCTACACATTTCCTGAAAGCTCGTCTTCTTTTATTCTTTTTTTTTTTAAACAGTGTTCAATACTCAGTGCTGTTTTATTGTAGTGAGATTCTCGCCTCCCAGGCAAAAGCTCAGATGGATCCAGAGGTTCAGGAAGCCGTTTGTGTCTGACAAGCTTTGGTTTCATGAGTGTTGGGTCACCTCAGCAATCGGCCATATAACGTCCTGCAGAACAGAACAAAGGTTTGAGTTGCTGGAGCATTACATATATGAATATCAGGTAGGTAAGGATGATCCAGCACCACATACCTGTAGCAAACCTCTTCTTGTTGAGAGACAGTCTGTACCCCGCCCCCACCAGCTCCATGTCCGCCCCTGACAGGGTGCTCCCCTCACTCATAAACTGCACTGCTAGGGTGGAGAAGCTCGAGGGTCCGTCTGACAGTTCAAACTTGGCCCTCAGGGACCCGGCACCTGGGGGCAGACACAAATACATTCCCTCACTTACTGTACAGTGTACACCCTCACTTACTGTACACTTACTGTACACCCTCACTTACTATGTACACCCTCACTTACTGTACACTTACTGTACACCCTCACTTACTGTACAGTGTACACCAGGGGTGCCCAACCTTTTTTGAACCAAGAGCTACTTTTAAAGTTGCCAGTCTGCCGAGATCTACCAGTCCAAATAGAGAGACGTAGCCATTACTGATAGCCTACTACCAGGTAAATACACACTTCTACTTGTATAAAACTGACCTTTGTACGATTAATACTTCATAAAATACTGCAGATCCTTTATCTTACCTCTTTCTAATCTACACACATACAAGTATTTAACTGAAGCTACACAACAGTGTTGTTGATACAGAGTTGGAGTTTATTCACACGTCACATACTACAGTGGGTAATGTTTTCAAGAAACATTGAACAGTGCTGCCACATATGACACAGGAAAACAAGAAAAGACTCTGAACCCATTCTTTGCCATTATATAAAAATAGTGTTGCTACAAAAGTATAAATGAGGCTTACTAATAAGACAACTCAGATCTGAAGCTACACAGGAATCTGCTGCCAAAGTGCAATAAAAAAGACCAAATTAATAGAATCAAACCCTTTTTTTGTTGCATTTTAGTAGATTATAAAAATAAATGCCTTTAAAATAGGATGCAAGCAACACTAGTTTCTTAACCTGAATTGGTAATAGACTATAATCAATTTAAGTTTGCATTCTTATACCATTTTGTACAATAATTATATTGAATAAGTTCAAACAAACGGTATCCAACTTGAGTTTTTATTATATCAAAAACCTGTTGAAATGCTGCTGTTATTTTTACTGTCCCCCAAAAGCACGTCGGCAGCCTCCAGGAATGCTTCTTTCACAACTTCGCCGTCTTTGAAAGACTTCATGTGTTTGGCAAGAACGTGACTGACACGATAAGATTCTATGGTAGCAGCCTTGCTCTTGTTGTTGGGCCTGGTGAAAATGGACTGCTGTGCATTTAGCTGTCCTTTCAGGCCCCTCCCCTTTTGGAGCGTAGGGCAGAATTAGGAGGGAATTCCGTCTCGTAGCGTTTGTGCACTGTTTTGAAATGCCGCTCCTAAATTACCCTTCTTCGATAAAGCCACGCTCACATTGCAGATGAGAGACAGATGGACTTTGAATTGGAATAGATACACAAATAATCATCCTCCCACTCGGAGTGAAAATTATATATTTTGGGCTTTTTTGCTTCTGCCATAAATGTGGTCTTGTGTGTGTGGACTGTCACTCCTGTTGACACGGACAACGTCAGCGAAATAGTGCCCACTGCCCACCAGCCACACCCCCACACATGGGGTCACGCCGGCCAATCACAAAGCTTTGGTGCGTTCAAGTGCATTATTCTGGCACGGGAAGATTATGTTATTGGACATTAACGATAAAACAGAATATTGTTGTTCTATTTTTAGACACATCTCGCGATCGACTGGGAATCTCCCCGCGATCGACCGTTCGATCGCGATCGACTGGTTGGGCACCCCTGGTGTACACCCTCACTTACTGTACACTTACTGTACACCCTCACTTACTGTACAGTGTACACTCTCACTTACTGTACACCCTCACTTACTGTACAGTGTACACTCTCACTTACTGTACAGTGTACACTCTCACTTACTGTACAGTGTACACTCTCACTTACTGTACACCATCACTTACTGTACAGTGTACACTCTCACTTACTGTACACCCTCACTTACTGTACACCCACACTTACTGTACACCAGGCCTATTCAAATGGCGGCCCGCGGGCCAGATGCGGCCCAGAACCAACTCCCGAGTGGCCCAGCCTCCCATGGCCAAATGTCTACACTAGTACAGACGATGAACGCAACACCCGAGTGGCCCAGCCTCCCGTGGCCAAATTCCTACACTAGTACAGACCATGAACGCAACACTCCGCGTTGCCTAGAAACAACCAAACAACAACGACGCAGCGCATTTTTTGAAAGTAGCCTACATCTAGTGGTCCTATGATAGAGCAACTCTAAAATATGTCTCTCTCAACTCTGAAGCGTAAACTTGACGATGAAAACCGTCAGTTTAACCCTGCCTGGACCGACAAATACTTGTTTATTCAGCCGTCAAATCCAAACGCCAAGCCGATGTGTTTAATTTGCAATCAGTGCGTTGCGGTACTTAAAAATTACAATGTCCGGAGGCACCACAATGACAAACACCCGACTTTCCGAACAAACTTCCCCGAAGGATCTCAGGAGAGGGCGGTAAAAGTGCAGAGTTTGATTTCATGTTACAACCGGAGCTCTACCACGATGGTGCGAACATTCACAGCCCAAGAAAGAGCTACAGCTGCTTCTCTCCGTGTTGCATGGATCTTGGCAAAAAATAAAAGGCCATTCACAGACTCTGAAACCATGAAAGAGTGTATGCTGGCCGTCGTGGATGAAGTGATACATGACGACAAAATTAAAACGTGTGTGACATCTGCTATTAAAAATGTTCCTTTGTCAGACACGTCAAACATCCGTAGGGTTGAAACTCTTGCTACAGATGTGTTTGAAACGCTGTTGGAAGAACTGAAGAAAGCCGATGTCATGTCCATTGCAGTAGATGAGTCCACAGACAAAAGTGATACCGCAATTGTGCATATATGTCCGTTTTTTTGACGGCAAATGCTTCCGAGAGGAATTGCTTGGCTTACTGTCGTTAGAAGGACACACAACTGGCGAGATAGTCTTTGAGAGAATTTCAGCCTTTTTCAAAGACAATGGTCTGGATATGGAGCGTGTGTGCATGCTTGTGACAGATGGGGCTCCATCCATGGCAGGGAAAATAAGTGGTTTAGCAGCACGTTGGTCCGCTGTAGCACCTCGGTTAACATCCTTACACGGCATTGTGCATCAGACGGTGTTGTGCGCAAAACTCGGTGGGGAGCTCAAAACTACAATGAACAATGTGATGGCTACTATTAATTTTATACGCTGCACATCAAGGCTCCAACACCGCTTATTCCGCAAGCTGCTGTCAGAGATGTCAGCTGAGCACTACGACCTGCTTTTGCACAATGATGTCAGGTGGCTGTCCAAAGGCAAAGCACTGGAGCGTTTCTGTGATCTCAGAGAAGAGATTATAACTTTTCTCCGCAGCAGCAAACAAAAGAAGGCAGAAGCAAACTTGCAACGCATACTGGACGACAGCTACATGGCAGATGTCTGCTTTCTGAGTGACATATTCAAACATCTGAATGACCTAAATGTGGGACTGCAAGGCAGAGACAAAACGGTCATTGATCTTGTGGAGCAGATGCGCGCATTCCAAGTCAAGCTGGACCTTTTCGCTACCGACTTGAGCACGGGTCGGATGCTGCATTTTCCGACGCTCCACAAACACATCACATCCCGGCACAAATCACGGATATGATGACAGATTTCATTGCGAGGTTGAAAGAGAACTTTGCCGGTCGGTTGGATGGACTTGCTCTGCCCACAGAGGTGATGGGCTTTGTCAGAGACCCCTTCACTGTTGCAATAGAGGGGGGCGTATCCACCAGAGCAAAGGAAGTGGTCCCCTCCATCGACGAGGGGAAATTTATACTGGAACTTATTGACATGCAGTCATCCGTAACCATGGCACAAGAGCAGCGCACTAACGGGCCAGCGAAGTTTTGGAGTGATGTCAAAAAACAGCAGTTCCCTAACGTTCAGAAAGTAGCGATCTGTGTGCTCAGTATGTTTGGATCAACATACACATGTGAGTCAAGCTTTTCACACATGAACTCAATCAACAGTAGCACTCGCTGCTCCCTGACTGACAGCACTCTTCAATGTCTTAGGATTGCATTGACATCCTATGAGCCAAAAATCACTGCTCTTGTTCAAAACAAAAAATGTCACTTCTCCCATTGAGAAAGTCAGCGAGTAGACGTGTAGTATTCATTCATATGTTAGTTACCCTTATCCCTTGTTATGGGTTTGTGCACTGAAGGGTTTGACAGTTATTTTTGTATTCATTTAAATGCACTTTGTAATGTGTCTGGTCAAATGTGACCAACACGTATGATTTTTTGTTTATACTTGAAAAGTGAAAACATAGTATTGCTAGAGTACTACCTCTTTGTGTTACATTGGAGCTCTTTAACTGTTTGTTAATGCACTGTTTGATGTGCATGTGTCATATGTATCCAATTGTATTTTGTATGTATGAAGACATTTATTAAGACTGCTATTATTGTATTCGGTTAAATGCACTTTGTGATGTGCCTGGTTCAAAAAAATAACCTGAATATTTTACTTCTAAAGCGAACAAATGTAATGCTACAACTGTGCACTTTTTGTTTTGTATGCACTTTGAGAATCCTCAGATTCTGTTAAATTAATGCTAATTTGTTGTGTTTTTATGCACTTTTTGACGTGCATTTGTTAGATGAAGGATGAATAAAAATGGCATGTTTTTCATCGCAGTAATATGTGTTGGTTTAAAATTTGTCATTACCCGCTTTTTACAGGCCGCTGAATGTCTGGCCCAGCTGAATTTAGTAGTTATAAAATCTGGCCCAACTGAATTTGTAATTGAATAGCCCTGCTGTACACCCTCACTTACTGTACACCCTCACTTACACTTACTGTGTACACCCTCACTTACTGTACACCCTCACTTACTGTACACCCTCACTTACACTTACTGTACACCCTCACTTACTGTACACCCTCACTTACTGTACACCCTCGCTGATCAATGTACACAATCAATACAGGCAGGATTTTGATCAAACATTCTAATTAGGGCAGCTGTGGCTCAGGAGCTAGATGGCCGTCCTCCAATAAGAAGGCCCCCCGCCTTCTCATTGGAGGACGGCCATCTAGCTCCTGATACATTACATTTTTTACATTTGGCTGAAGCTTTTATCCAAAGCGACTTACAATAAGTGCAAAAACCATAAAGATTGAAACTCCAAACAGCAAGGAAAGTGCAGATATATTCACTTCCAGCAAGGCAGACCATTGTAAGTGCTGGTGAATCAGTTACAAGGCCTACAGTACATTTTTAGTATTTTTGATCCACAGCTCCTGCAGTCAAAATGTGACCTTGGGTAAGATACCTATCCCCAAATCGGTTTGTGAACGTGTGATCATGTTAGATTCATGAGCAGGTGGCACAAAAAACCTGAAACGTTTATTTTAATTAAATGTATTATGTCAACACATTTCACATAACTGTATTAGGTTAGTTGAAACATATAATATTAAAACGTAATACATTTAATTAAAGTCAACGTTTCTGTTTTATCAGAGCAGGCTGCCTTTGTATGAATGTGTGTGAAAGCTGAATTGAATGTAAAAGCGCTTTGAGGGGTCTCAAAGACTGAAACCGTGCTTTGTAAATACAGTCCATTTACAGTTCATTTGCAAACAAAGAAAAGCAGGATTTACCTTCATTTTCAGACTTTTCCGAGATGTCATTCAGCTTCCACAGACACTTATTCTGCTCTGCATTCCTAAAATAAGAAACAAGAAATGAAATATTAGCTGCTTCTGTTCAGCGCCTCACACTTTGTGTTCTCCCACTGATGGAACAGCGTTTACCAGATGGAGTTGGGCAGGGAGTGCATGTTGGTGACCCCTCCGTCCACAGGCACTAGGATCTGGACGTTGGACAGGGGTCCGGGGTGGGCCATGGACTCGGGGTTGTAGCGGTAGTCCACCCGCAGGTCGGATGTGCTCAGCGTACACTTCCAGTACACAGCCAGGTTGAGAGGAGTGGAATGGATCCCGTCTGACTGCACCTGAACGCAGCAGTAGAGTGGACATTTAGAACATTAGATAAGAATAAAGCTTTTTTGAGCAAATTTGAGCAATTAGAGTAATGAAATTAGACTATGTTTAAAATCAAAAACTGAATCAAAAAGTATTATTTTCGCAAGCTGGATTTAACATTTTGAAGATGATTGTGTGCTGCTGAAATCTGGTCTACCACAATTTCAATAGCAATATTGTATGTGTTGTATATATTTTGTTTTTGTGTCCGTTATGAAAACTTGTATACTTTCTTTTTCAAAATGTTCTATGTATGTATCACCTACTTTCATTTTGTATTTAGTTGTTTTCTTTCATGCTGGGGTGGGGGTGTAATGAATCTGCTTCAGTCTAGTTGAAATGTGCACTGTTGCATCTACTGTATGTATTTGACTGCTCAATGACATTCTGTATGATATTTCTTTATAATGAAAACTTTCAAAAAATGAAAGTGTTAAAAAACTATTATTTTAATATTGCAGATCTGACAAACAGATTTAGTTGTTTTATGTTTTTGAAGTACAGAATACAAGCTAAAAAAAAGTATACACTATGTGATCTCAAGGCTTAGGTAGGAAAAAAAAGAAATCTGGTTACACCGTTGACAATCATTTATATCAACATGGGTTTTTGAGTATTTTTATCAAGATTTATTCAACGTTTTTATGTATAGTGCTGACAAGTTGGATTTTATAGGTAGATCTTTCACAATAACTTTTTTATGCACAGGGACATGCAATATAAACTAATGTCATCATGTAAATACGCTGGTTTGAAGCTGTAAAACAAGGCTTTTAGGGTTTGTTTAAAAGATGATGTCATCCAGTGTGGGCATTCGCGTGTGAGGCTCCACCAGTGTAGGACCACAGTAGGCTTATAGTATATAGCTGAGGTCTGAACCAGACTATAACATGATGTTAGAGCAGTACATTCAATTACAAAGTTAGGGACCACACATTAATTACATTCCTAACTGGCCCAGGAAGATTGTGAGGCAGGAGCAGAGACAAAGGTTCAAACTAATATTATGAGAACATGTAATGTTAATGGCTGGAGGATCTTTTAGACCAGTGATTCTCAAATGGGGGTGCGCGGACCCCTAGGGGTACGTTGGGGTACTGCAGGGGGTACGTGAGATTTAAAAAATACCATGCATGATTACAAAAATAATCTTAGTACAATAAGTTAAATAGAAAACACAATTTTATATAAAATATTCCTAGAACCTCATATAAAACATATCAAATTGGTGTATTGTATTTTATAGTTTTGCATAATATATCATTTTGTTCATTGGTTTGTTAAACAGATATTACTTCAGTAATTTTTTTTTCTTTTTTCAGGCATAAAATGAAAAATATCCTTAGTTTGTTGTAAAGGAGTTAATAAATCACACACTGAGGGAACATCACTATATTGGAATTATTTGTATAGGCTTTTTCGATCAAACATTTTCGGGGTCGGTCAGGGGGGGTCACTTGGCTGAGAAAATGTTTCAAAGAGGGTACATGACTGAACAAAGTTTGAGAAGCCCTGCTTTAGACCTCTGACACACAGCAGTAGTCAAATACTCTGATACCATTGTTATTACCTTTTATTATTTAAAATAAAAAAGACACTGCACTGGCTGTACCTCACCAGGATCATTTCTTTAGCTTTTTTCTTGTGAAACACTTCAGGAAACATATTTTTAATTCTTAAATATAGTTATTTTATCTGGTTTATGTTATGGTCTGGCCTTTGGCGGACTCACCTGATATTTTAGGATGTCCACGTTGTAATAGGAAGCTGTAGGATTCTGATCTGAGGCTTTTCTGAGGTAGGACGTCAGCGCTTGCATGTTGAACCAGAAGTCCTTGGAATTTGAGTCACTTTGGGAAGGATCACTAGATAAAAAGACAAACAATCAGAAAGATATGTGCACACACTCACACTCTCTGAATAATCAGAGGCTCAATTATTCATCGCTCTTTTTGGCTTTGTGTGCTAAGCTCCAATAGCTTGGAAAAAATGACCCGGTTGTATCTCACCAGCTACTAAATCATGAATTCCATTTCATTCCCACCATGCACTGCACTAGAACACATGTACTTTATCTAAACTTTTTAAGAACCGTTGTGAACTTGTCACATTCAATTAGTTTAAAAAAGTTGTAGTTTTAAAATAGAAACAAAATAAATGGTGGAATTTTGAATGTGAGGTAAAATACACGTCTGACAGACAAAAGAGGTGAGAGGTAGATTCATATATGTTGGATTAAGCAGCTGTTATATGAAGTTTGCCATTTCAGCGTGTGAAGTATTCCAGAAGAGACGTGGGCTGATGAGAGGCCGGCTGCTAAAGCCTGCTGGAAAATACTTCCCTGACAGCCTAATGATAGGTTTATGTCAGATTACTAATTGAATTTCCTCTTACTGACGCAGACTACACTTCCTCTGCTCTCGCGTCCAAATCCCTTTCACTTAACCACCACTCAGACAGGTTTTCATTTCGTTCTTCAGACTTCTTTAAACATGTTTTACGCACTCCTGTGGACAGCTCACCTGTACAGCAGCTGTTGGTTGGGGAGGATCTGCTCCAGCCTGCTGGTGTTCTTCAGTTTGAAGGTGAGCACGGCGGGGGAGGGGTTGGAGGTGAACACCTTGATGATGCCCATGGGGAACGACAAGGTCATGTCTCCTGTGATCTTCACAATGCACCTGTGGAACGCAGACACGTTAATGTGAATTATGAATGTCAGAAAAGGGTTTTCTCAGAGCCCCTCTTTTGAATCAATGACCCCATCAGACCTCTTTTTTCATCAGATTTCCATTTGGTTTTAACCAGAATAACATCAGGAGCTTGTAAAGGTGCTTTTATTGTCTGTGGAACGGCCTTCTCAAATGCTTTTCTGCATCTATAAAAACTGTATGTTGATTTAAAGCCAAGCTCAGGCCTTTGAGGAGCATATATGGATGTGTATGGACTGTGTGTATAACTGTATATGGTATTTATTTTTGATTCTTTTTTTCCTTTTCAAATGTCCCCGGAATAAGGAGTACATATATAAATAGTATCTATTTTTGTTATATTTTTTCTATACCGCTGTGTTGCATATGCTAGATGTTTGTCTTTCTTTTGAATACATAGCACATTGGGTTTCTTTGTAATTACATGAGGCTCTATAAATAAAGCTGCCTTCTCTACATTTTGTCTGTACCCATATATACTATTTTATTTCAAAAGCAATGAGAGATTAGTATAAAATGAACACATTTAAGAAGCTGGGATGAGAGCCTGTTTGGATTTTATTCTTAGAAAATCCATTATGAACACGAGAGTTAATCACTACTCTTACTGAGAACAAAGCTCACAGTAATAGGACATATTTGTTGTGGTTATGTATTGTACTTTAGCCTATAATCTGCTTTGTATACAAAGATATACAGTAAACAAGGCCCTTTAGAGTAAACACATTGGCTTTAGATGCAACACATCTCCATTTCCACCTTTCTTTACGCACATCTGCGTGCTTCTACAGTAATATAAATCCAGCTTCTCCTTTCAGTTGAGATGTGAGTCTGCGGTGGTAACTGTCCACAGCGTGTCTGAACCTCGCACCGTGTCTCTGCTGCATTGCTTATGAAACGTTCCATTTACTAAGCCCTGCAAAAATAAGCCTTTTGCACAGCAGCAATTTAACAGCAGTTAACGGCTGTATGTTTTCTCTGCCCCGGACTATAATCTGCCCCATGTAGGTTATCCACTCTGAAAGAATGGTGTCACACTCACGCAAAAAAAATCCACACATGCAGAGCGAGAGGGAGGTGCACACACAAAACCAAAGGCTCTGAGTGCAGTGCACATCATGCAGAATGACACCGTTTAACTCATAACGTCATTTGTGGTGAAGTTTCAGTTCAAATATGGACACAAATGCGTGCAGGTCCATGTTTGGGCCTTTGAGCAGCAGGAGGTCATGTGAGACTCACTTAGTGGGATCAGCGCCTTTGAAGTAAGCATTAACCGATTCTGTGAAGGCCACGGCAATGGGCAAAGCATCTTGGGACGCCAGAGTCACAGGGCTGGGGCCGCGAGACGTTCCTGAGAAAGAGAATGGCGCAGAGTGAGAGGCCTGATCGGACGTTCACACCAGAGCTCACATCAGAAGGCTTGACCATGCAAAGATGCATTATATAATATAGAAGTATTACTGCAATTCAGTCATTCATACATTTCAAATCAGTACATTCTGTTAATGTTCATAATGAAGAAAACTTAGGTACATTTTTGAGTAGATCATGCTCCAGATGCTATACTTCAAATTAATGATATTAGTTATACATACAGTGGATTGCTTCAGACAGCATATTCCAAGTTAAGTCAACTAAATATTTACCAGTCAAATCATTCATTACGTCGTTATTTTAACAACAACATTTGTATAATGTTAGGAGTTGATGCAGTTGACGGTAGGACAAATGTGAGGAATGATCTGAATATGTGAGAGCACACAAGACAAAGAAATGCATCACTTTCCATCCAGTCGAACAGACTGGGGTTAGTTTGAGTTAAAGAAGAGGAGGGTCCTCTTGCATGATCTCAACCATACCTGCTGGTGTTTCACAGCGCTTCTCAAAGGTAGGCAGCTTGGCTATGAACGAATCATCCTCTTTACGCCAAATTAAAGCGATACAAAAAGAAAGAATGAGATAAAAGAAAAACCCAGAGAGCACAAACATGATAATCCTAAGCAGTGTGATGTGTGAGAGGGACAGGTGACATGCACAGAGTGCAGGGCATGACCTCATGGAAAGGAGTGTCTCGAAAGGGAGTTTGGAAAGGCGGACTCACTTTGGCTTAGAGGAAAGAAAGGAGAGAGGAAGAGCAGCTCTTGCTCTGGGGATGAGAGGGGGGGAGCAGAGGGGGGCTCAGCTCCTGTGAGGAGAGGAGTCAAGGGAGGAAGGAGGAAAAGCTGATCGTATGCAGGGACAAAAGGTGGGTGGAAACTTGGTGAAGAGTTGAAAAGCAGAAGGATTCTCTGTGTCTAGAGGGGGCTTACCAACAGTGGGGGTGTTGCCGGCACTGAGTGAGGCATTCGAGGACAAAGAGGAGGAGCTCTCCGCCCGGGCAAGGGGCGCAGCGGGAGGGGGGCTGGCATTGGAGGTCTTGGTTGGGCTGAACGGCCGTACCTGAGTGAAGGGAGTCATAAATAGGATGTTATTACAATGTCAGAATGTTATTTTTATAGCAATCAGTGTTGTGTTCCTGTGGTGACTCACAATCTCATTGATTCCTGTGAGTTTCCCTGTGGGGAGTTTGGGCCTGGAAGAGGGTCGGGGTGGGGGCACCAGGGCTCCAGCTGTGAGGGGGGTGGTTGGTCGATTTGGTAAAGGCACTACACACAGAAACACATGGAGGTTTTACTGGTTGGCGGCAGAAAACAGCATCGAAATAGGGTAAACACACTGAAATGAGTTCAAGTAGATGCAAAAACATCATGCAGGAAGTATAAAAAACATAATTGCAAAACATGAAAATCATTACCTCACAAGAAAAACACATTCCCAAATTAATTTCACAAAAAGAAACTCAAATACAAACATGTTGCAAAGCAGGCTGGGAGTTAGACAAGCATTTTCCTTCAAACACAATGAAAACACTGCAAAAAATACAAACTTCTACTTCACAATAAAACATAAAGAAACAAAAATAGAAATCAAACTCCAAACTTCAGGCATTGCCACATCACAACCTTAGCATCAGTTATAATGTTACCATTCAATATGTTGCCTGTTTGAGCTGCTGCCATCGCCCTCTCTGTAATCCCAGAGAAGACGTCAGTAAAGCGGGGGTCTTCTCTGCTGCCGGACGTTTTGCAGTATGCGTCGGCAGAGTCGTCAGAGAGGCAGCGGGTGGACCGGGGGGGGCCGGTGTGGGGCCTCTGGAGCTCCTTCACACTGAACCCCTGACGGCGCGCTGGAGCTAAGTTATCACTGAAGGCGATCCACTGGCTCTGGGACCAGCTGACGGAGGAGAAGGCGTCGCCGCTCTTTGGGGGGCTGGCAGCTGAGGGGCTTCTGATGGGGTCGACGGGCTCCGTGGGCAGGGTGATGGGGGCGCTCTGGGCCCTCGCTGGCACGGGCTTGAAGGCTTGGAAAGGGTTTTCTGGGGAGTCCCAGGGAGAGGAAGTGGACGAGGAGAAAGAGGACACTTCTTTGGATTGCTGGCTCTCTGTCAGAGGGGGGGAGCGCTCCCGTTGTGTCACCGCCTCAGCTGGGGGGTGCGCGTGAGTGATGGAGCGATAAACATGATAAAGCAAAGTGTAGACAGGCAACAATCAGACATGTAGTTACATGTTTAACAATACTTTTCACATTAGTTAACAATACGAGATGATGCTTGAGTGCCCATTGGTTTGCTTCTGTGTTGATGCAGTTCAAAGTTTTTGACAAATACAAATATAGTTCTGCAGGTCTTTTTTTTGTATGCAATTGGAGATGATTTGGCTCGGGTTGTCTCAATGTTGCTTGTAACAACATATTGTATTACTGATTGCCAAACCTTACACAACTCACAGATTTGAGTAGTATAGTGAGTTATTTAAAGCATTTGGAGAACTTTCCTATGCTTCTGTCCAGTATTTCCCCTTTTTTATTGCTACTTTTTAACATCCCAGGGTGAACAAAATATGAAGCACCTCTGTGGTACTGAACTAAAGTAGTCTTTATGTCTTTTCTAGGTGTTTAAAACATATTGTTTATCCACTTTAATCGTCTCACACGCAGTAGGGGTTACTTTCACAGAGACAAACCGATATACACATTATTTAATCTTTAGTAAGTGGCTGTTACCTCACTGTCTACAATACTACATTTTGTTTTAACTGGAAAAGGGAATCATAGATCTTGTATTTTAGCACACTGCAAGTTTAAAGCACAGGTAAAACTCTGAGTATCCTTCGTTTTGAGGAAATATGACGCATATTTGAATTGAAAATGTAACCTCTTATCAGGAATAAATTAGCAAAGCGATGACCCTGATGTTTTACACACATAAGGACACACATCCTGATTATTAGAGTATATGTCATACCTGTCCACATGCATTTCAACACATAAGTACCATGCAGCAGAACGGCAGTCCATACGTTTGACGGTCTGATAAACGGGGCACACACTCTTTACCTGATGCCTCTGGCAGAAAGACCTCTGAATCATTCATCAGAAAAGATGGCGATGGAGGGATTGAAAGGAAGATAGAGGCAAGGTCTAACAAGAAAAGTTCAAATGAATAAAACAAACAAACAAGGAACACCTTTTTTTTTTAAACTCAGACAACATTTTTGGAAGAAAACAAAAAGCAAAGGAATAAAACAATATGTAAAACAAATGAAAATGTACAGAACAAAGCAATAAATACAATATATGAAACCAAATCCTGTACATGCGGCTTGAGTCAGTGAGCACAGACTTATGTAGAGTGTCCTGTGTGCTAATACTGCTGCACTGTACACAGAGAGATTTAACAGGCTGTGAGCAGGGCCTTAATTCCCATCACAGTATCTTAATCAGGGCACTCTGCGATGCTCTTTTGACTTTTAAGCCGAGACCTTTGACAGTAACGAGACAATGTTTGACAACATACGTGCCAGGGGGCTTTATAGCCGACCCCCTGACCTCCACTAGGTGCCAATTAACTGTGGATTACGCTTAGCCTAGGCAATGGGTCAGCGCTAATGTTCACTCTGTTTAAACACTGGTGTCATGCATGGAAAGCCATGAGAATCACTCTATCAACACTTCAAAGTCAAACAAACACTTAGAGCGCAGTATGACTGTAGAGACTTAAGGAAGATGTATAGGAAACAGGAGGAGCACAAGATTTGAAAAGGATTGTAAAAGTGAAAACTGTGATAGCAGCGATTTTAATTCTCTAAGGCTGAATATGCTGTTGACCTCAGGGGTGAGTTCCTCTAACTGGGACTGCCCTGAGAGGAAAGTCATCGACTGAGGTCTTAACAAGAACAAGAGGAAAGGGGAGACTACAAAAACAGCAAAAAGGACAGGATCACTGGCTCAAACGTGGGAGTACAAACCAGGATGCTTGTAGCATACTTAAAGTTATCATTTTAGAGACTTTTTTGAAGCTGTCAGTTTGCAGAGTAGAACACATCATTTCTGACATTTCAAAACATAAACATCAAATTAAGCAATTCATCTTATTTGTACCATATGAGGGGAAATATCCCCCAAGCTCACATTAACAGAAAGAAAACCACTCAATGACTTTTTCTTTTTCTCTGGTTTATGGATTTTACTTATTAAAAACAAAACATAAAGAAGGTTGCTACTCAAAGTTATCAATCTTGAGATTTTTATAAAATCAAACCCACTTTGATATGCTCTGATTTGTATCTGATATTCAATGTACTTACCTTCTGTAATTACAGTATATTATAATACATCATCAGGAAATGAAGAACGCATGTAATCCAGCGAGATCTTATTTTATTGACATCAGCCTCACTGTTTAGGGTTTACTGTCCTGCATCGTGTCAGAACATTAGAATGTTGGAACAAGAAGAAGAAGCTACAAGGACATTTTGGAAGAAGGGCTGCACACATTCAACTTCTCATCAACCTATCACCGTGCTCAAACGTGTTACACTGGGTACAGTATGAAGTCAGGTCGCTGTTGCTAATGTGATTGATTCTTCATTCAAACAATGCGAGTCAGTTTAGCTACACTTTGGGGTGTGGCCAAACGAACCAGGACGGCAATGTCAAGAAGGTCAAATTAAAAAGGAATTGCAGTAACCTCTTATTGGTGCTACATGTTTTGAGGGATCCTGTAGCATAAATAAGATAGAGGTAAACTCTGATGTGCACAGCAGTGCAGAAAGAATGAGGGATTACCTGTTGATGAAGACACAGAGGAAGAGGAGCCTGCTGCAAGGGTCGGGCCGAACGGGTCCAGAGACAGAAGGTCGTTGTTGGTGAGTCTGCAGGGAGAGGGTCAAGTTCAAATGAGAAACATTTACAGCAGAAAGAGGCACAATTTCCTTCCATACGAAACAAGATAGTGTTAACATGTTAAAAACACATTCATACTTACTCGTATGGTGTTGGCACTCTGGGTTTTGCCAGCTCATCACCTGCAGGAAGAGAAAAACAAACGGGACATTCAGACCCACAGACTTGCAGAGCACAGCACATTACTAAGATCAAAATAAAACCCCAACACAAGAGGGTTTCAAAGGTGACAGTTGCCAAAGCCATGTTTAAAGTTATTCACACCTTAAACCAGAAATATAAACTGAGGTTCTGACAGCTGTGAAAAGTCATAGAAGTATATTTGCAGTAAGATTTCTGTTGGTTACAATATTTTTCTTATTTCTGCCTTACACAGTGAACATCTTACCCAAATACCGCAGAGGGTTCAAATGTGCTTTTGATTCGATGGTAACACTTTACAACAGGGATGTAGCACCTCAAATAAAACCAGGCATTACTTTGTTATTTTGCGCCACTTTTCTAAAGTGTGACAGAGCATTGCAAAGATCCATACGAGCAACCTGAAGCAGCCCCAAAGCACCAGAGGAGGCAATGAGAGGACCCAAATATAAAACCATTTCAATATTACAAATATAAGTTTGCAGTGAGAGTGTGTCAGCTGAGAGGAGGGTTGTGGCAGGGGGGGGGGGGGGGGGGGGGGCAGGGTGTGGGCTTACTACTGTAGAGAAAACATACTCACCCGGACCCTGAGCCTTAGAGCTTAATGCAGACACTCCTGTGTTCCCTAAGCATGTGCAGAGTATACATCTATCAATGCAATGTACTGTCTAGGTTGAGCATTATCAGTGTTTCAGCTGTGATTTCTTTACCATTCAGTTACATACAAACGTGCTTTTTGCTAGCAAAAAACAACTTTTTGTTGTTAATATGCAAGCTTTCTGAATCTTACATTAAGACCCAATGGAACATGATACATACTATATAGTGTAGGTTCATATATTTGAAGGATCTCTCAAGTAAATAAAACAGAGCAAACAAACTCAGCCTAAGGTAGATACTCCTGTCTATCAATATGCCAAAAACATGCGATATACTGTGTAAGTTGATCTATATCAGTGTTTCACCTGCAGAATGTCATTCTGTTTACCGTTTAGTTACATACAAACATGGTTACTGTTAGCAACTTCAAATAAAACAACTATTGACTAGAATTAAACACCTTTTCAGTTACTCTTCAAGCTTTGAAACCAACATTAAGAACCCATGGAACATTATTCATGGTGTGTGACATGTGTACTGTGTATATATATATTATACACACACACAGATATACTGTATATTTAAAGGATTTCTCAAGCATTTGTGGAATTAATCAAACACAGCAAACAAACACACTTTCTCCAAGCCGTGTCAGTTTGCAGAGTGGAAAACATCATTTCTGACATTTCAAAACATAAACATCCAATTAAGCAATTAATCTTATTCGTACCATGGTGGAGGGAAATATCCCTCAAGCTCACATGAACAGAAAAGAACACTTATTTACTTTTTTCTCGGGGATATGTTGGTTTTGGCTAAGTTTCTGGGTTTTCCTTTTTAAAAAACAACCTCTTTAAAAACGTCTTGTGCCAGAAAAATGTAGTTGAGTCGCTGTACAGTCGACCCCCTTCAGTCATCCAGCACACACAGATACAGAGAGGTCAGACAGAGAAAATACTCACTGGACTGGTTCCTCCGCATCGGTCCCTGAAAACACAAACAGACATTAATTAAGAAAAGACGCTGCGACACGCCATGACTTTCCAACTTTGACTTGCTCGGTTAGTTGGAAAGAAATCATAAAAAAAGATCAATCTAAGAGAAATGGTCAAGCTGCATAGAAGAGACCTCAAACAGGCCTATATGTTCTTTACAAAGTGATATCAAGTACTATGATACTCGCCTTTTTTACAACCTGTGCAACTTTTTGGAAGCTCAAATTTCTAAATTCCTTTTAACATGTCAAACTATTTGAAACCTTAAGCCTTAATATATAAAGATGTCAAATATATATATAAACAGTGTAAATAGTGGGAAAAAAGCTTTAAAAGGGTTGGAAACTGTATTATTAATTATTCCCAGGGGCAAAGGAAATTTTCCACTTCAGAGTTAAAGACAGTAAATCTCAGGGCTGCTCTCGCCTCACACATACCAGACGTTAAACCTAGGGTGCAATATTCAGCAGCGCAAAACTTTGCATTTAAGCCCATCTGACGATCAGTGAGGGAAAACAGAGAGCGTGCCCCCAACACTTCACCAATTTACGTGACACAGCGGACATAAATCTGCCGTGTCATGCTGCGCAACACAAGATACGCGAGATTGGCTGTTGAGGGTCACCAACCCAATGGACAGTTTGAGCATCAATTTCAATAAAGACTTTATTTGCACAATGAGAAAGGTGGTGTGAGTGTGGTGGGGGGTCTGTCAAGGGAGGAGGGGAGAACAAGAAACAAAATGGGTTTAAGGAACATAGCAAAAGCATTTAACCACCGTAGAGCTGTGAGGCCAGGGTTTAGTCCCACAGGCGCAAAGCGGCAAATGGGTTCAATTACGGCTATTGCTGGCCACACACACACGACTTCCACTGCTATTTCAATAAAGGGAACACCGCAGAGGGAGAACCAAACAGGAGGAGGAATGAAAAAGACAGCAAAATGAGCAGAGGAAAAAAAGAAAAGAAAATCTCTCAATAATTCACACCAGATGATGCAACGTTCGTCATCGCCTTGGATGTGTTTTAACTTGATTCCAGAACTTTGGGTAAATATAAGAAAAAGGAAAAGGGTACTAAACAAACATTTGAAAAGACAGAGAGTCGGAAACATTTAATTTAAAAAAGGTATTTTAAATGAAAATCAGAGTCAACACACAAAAACAGTGGTTTGTGTTTTTTTGTACTTTAAGGATGAGAATGTTTGTGGGTTTGCATCTCGACAAAAACCAAACTGGAACGGACAAAATCAAAAGGTTTAAATGTTGTTATATTAAAAAGAAAAACATCCTTTGTATTTTATCTTTATCATTAGTTCCTTTGCTAGAAAACAGACGAAAAGAGAAGATTTGAAAAAAGAAGTCCCAAAACTAACTCCATAAAGTATTCATAAATAACCTCAACAGAGTCCTGTCTAGCACAAGTGGGCTCCAATACAAACCAAACGAGTGAAAGCAAACAAAGAAAAGAGGGAAAAAGAGTGAGGTAAATCACAAACAGGGAGGAGGAACAGTGGTCGGAGCAGAAAGGAAGGGGGAGGCTGGAGGGGGGGGGGGGGGGGGGGGGAGATGCCGTGACATTTGTTTAATGTGCAGCCGGGAGAGCTGAAACCCACTAGACCCCGTTCTCCACACCGAGCGGGCCCTTTCAGCCGCTCCACAACAACAACATCAACAGCAGCAGCAGCAGCTCAGTGAATGTTTGCACAAGCAGTAGTGGCTTTAAACTTTAATGGCAGCGGCTATTTTCATAGAGCGGGAGATAGAGTGATGGTGAGAGACAGAGCTGAATGAAGGACTCCATGAGTGAGGTCACGGATCAGACTGTGTGTGTGTGTGTGTAGCCTGCCCTCTACCACAAATCATTCCTACAAGGACAGCAAGTGAGTCTGCACTGAAGGCCAACAAAATCAGATACTTAACTCACAAATTATTATTTCTGAGTTCTTGATGTATTTACTTTAAAAGAGAGAAAAATACCCCAAAAGTAGTTCGACAACTACATTCTAAGTATAAGAAACCATGAAATGTGTCCAAACGGGAACATCAGTGAAAAAGTAGACAATCTGGAGTGTGAAATTAATTTAATTAAATACAAATGCCTTTTTAATCAAAATTAGATAAGCTCCAAGAAAAGTGACTAACGGCATCTGTAAGTGGGATAATAGGGTTGAACGGCATCCACTCTAACAGAGGTTTCATATTGTCCTGTTGCCCTCTAGTGTTGCAGCAGCAGAGCAACAGGCTTGTGTTTAGGGAGTGTTAGTACTTCTAGTGTCTTTTATGGTGTTCTTGGTGTTTGAAGCCGTACCGAGGTCGATGGAGACAAGCTGATGTTTCCGATGGAGGCTTTAAGCTCGTCGATGGTGGCTCTGTTCTGGTGCGTGCCGTTGTTTGGCAGAACGGGCTTAATTTCTACGTGGAACTTCCTGGGTTCATCTTCGTCCTCCGAGTCGCTGGACGAATAGAAGGAATTCTCTTTGGCATGTGAGCAAAACAGTTAAGGCGAAAACAGACACATTATAAAAAGAGAGAACAATAGAAAGATCATCTTCTTATAGAATTGGCCTGGCTTCAGGAGGCAGGTTGTGAACAGAGAAACACACGGTGACAGAGCCTCGATGATGATGATGATGAGCTGGATGGAGCCTCAGAGTGTAAACAGTTTCAATACAAGCATAAAGGATATCGTTCTCATTTCCTTCCGGTCTGATGCAGAAGCCCTCTGCATCAACTTGGGGAACGTTCTGCAACACAAAAACAGAAAGTCCTTTTAAAATATCACATTGTTGTATATTTCTAACACACATTTGAAATAAATGTATCATATTTGTATCCTCTGTAAATACAGTACACTTTTAAAGCTGTAAAGTAATACCCACAATGTATTTAGCAACACTTAAAATGTGCACATCTTATTGTGCATACAATTTCAAATGACACTTTAATTTAAACAGCCAGTAGGCCAAACATTCTTAAAATGAGTCAATACACAATACCATTCCAAATATCCCTCTTTTACACTGAATCTTAAGATAGGTCAAAACTTTAAACATCGTTTTATTTATTTTGTTCTCTAATTATTTAGAGAACAATAACAGTTTATTATCATATCATAGAGATGGAAAGTGTATCTTTAATGTATGGCATTCTGTTTTTAAGACATGTGATATACAAAGTAATAAAGGACAGTGAAAATAAGGAACATCTAAGTTTTCACTATTTAACTTTAAGTTATTGTGGTTTACAAAAAGTGCGTTTTATTGTTACTTGTTAGAGCTTTTTATTGTGAAGCACTTTGTCACATTGTTTAGAAATGTGCTCTCCAAATATATTTGATTTGAATGATACAAAAGTCTGGATAAGACTACATTTCGCTCCTGTGTCCTTTATCGGCTTGCTTACAGCGTTCTGGATGTCTATGGCCCCATAGTACCCAGGGGGAGCTCCATTGGCAGTGTTCTACAAGCACAAACACAGAGAGATGAATGAATGAGCCAATCTACAAAACTAACAGGAGGGAGGGAACACACACAGAGAGAAAGACAATTGAATGCACAAGGATCCCTTCCACCTCCTCCTGTTTGAAATCAAAACTGAAAAATCAATTAAATTGGTGTTTTGTTGAAATTATACTCACAGCAGCTTCCACTTCTGTAGACTCCCTGAAAGATAGAATGATGATATCATGATGAGACTGATTTATTTAAAACAAGTTGCATTAATTGTGTTGGTGGACTAAAGTTATGTTCGGTTACGTCGAGTCTGTATCCTTATCTTTCCTTCGACCTGGGATGCCGAATGGTTTTCTCTTTCTTGGTTTGGCACCTTAATACGAAAAAACCAAAGCACTTTATCAACCATAAATAAAAAATACATTTAATCTGCTCTCGACTTTATTAACATTACATTCTTTACTTTAGTGCATTGTTAAAATTTTGTTGTACAACGTATTTGTAATAAGACGTACCTTCCATAGCAATAGCTGTATTGCACTCCTCAAACTCAATGGGTCCTAATGAGACAAAAACAATATTTTAGGTTCATTTGGCACGGAAAGGGTCAACGGCCTACTGCTGTGAAAGCTGTGAATGTCATCACGCATAGATCACACCCACCAAACAACACACAACACACACCACACACACAACCACACACACACAACACACACACACACACACACCACACAACACCACACACACCACACACACACACCCACACACACACACACACACCACACCACACACACACACACACACACACACACACACACACACACACACACACACACACAGCACACACACACAACACACACACACACACACACACACACACACACACACAACACACACACACACACACACACACAACACACACACACACACACACACACACACACAAACACACACACACACACAACACACACACACACACACACACACACACACACACACACAACACACACAACACACACACACACACACACACACACACACACACACACACACACACACACACACACACACACACACACACACACACACACACACCACACAGCATTCAGTCTGGCGTGCTACAGAGTGTGTACACAAACAGGCCGGCTGCTCCACAGGGCAGACGGGGTCAACAGCAGAGTCAAATGTGTGTCTGGTGGCCCTCACTGAGATGTGACACTGCCTCCTGGGGACACAAAGCACTATGCAGCCACAAAGTCTTCCTCACATGAAAAAAAGTACATTCTTAAGCATACTCATATTTATTCTATTGGAAATATCAAAAACCGTCTCCAGTGTATTCAGTTTGTATTGGCTGCATTCAACTGTCTGCTTTTAGACCTGATCTCTAATATATGGAATTTCTTGTACTTGTAAAGTTGAATCTAATCTAAAACCCATCATGAACTGATTCTCTATGAACAGGATAGGTGCTCACAGCAAACAGCAGGTATGAAGATAAAAGTGAACCTCCAACACGGGACACGCAAAGTCCCTAACCCTATTACAATAAGACAAACAAGTGGGAGATTACATGCAGTGAAGTGTTTAAAGCCACACGGACACATCTGCTCTCGGCTTAGAAGCAGCCATCCTCTCCCTCTCTCTTTGGCATGCAAGAAATCCCAAGGGGAAAGTAGAGTAGACCATACGGCAACAAACCCTTATTACAATGATCTATTCATTTGATTTATAATAAACAATTAATTGTGTGATGTAATGTACTTATCTGTGCATGTTACTATGGTGTCCCTCTCACCATTTTACTTGTATATATTTTAATTATATTGGCAAGTTGCACTGTTGGAGGTCTCTTGAACACAAGATTTGCATTGTAACTACACGATAGTTATTGTGCGTATGACAATGAAGCCTTTGAATATTTCAATATAAAATGCCAAAAAAAAGTGAAATATGTCCTGGTTTCTCCAACCCTAAGCTTGCACCTTATTTTGATGTTTTCTTGTGAGATAAAAACACTAATGTATCCTTTAAGTTTACTGAAATAAATCAGGAAATCTTTGTATTTAAAAAAAGGCCCGAAAACAACCATTTCTGAATGAAAAAAATCACTTAACTATTAATGATAATCAAAACAGTTGGTAATTGTTGTTCTGTCTAAAGACCTTATTGTTACAGCTCTACCCGAAAGAACACACATCTGAAATAATCATAGCATCCCTGATTAATAGACTGAACTATCAGTGTCAGATGTATTCCAGCCAACAGCCGTAATATCCCTCAGAGCACAAGCAGCCGTGGATTTATCCAAACAAAAACAACATTGCTTTTGGTTATACAGATCTATGATTGAAATGATGAGAAGAGCACAAAACAACAGCGTTTACACTTAATTTAAGGCTCATCAATTATACACAACATGTACCTCCAAGGCCCTGCAGCACTGCCACGCTTCAAGAGTGCCTCCAGAAACATTTAAAGGAAAAGCACTGTAACATACACATGCTCACGCACACACACACACACACACACGCACTCACACGCACTCACTGAAAGCTGAAGAGAAAACAGAGGCAGGGCATGCAATGAGTGTGCATGTCACTCATTGCTAGGTTGGGCTGTTGGTGTTGTGTGATTGTGATATCTATTAGGAAGAGTGACACCTTAACCTTATAACTGCATATTTAGATCGCATTATGGACTCGTGCAACATTCAAATAGCAGGATGCACAATATTTGTTAGATAACAAGTGTTTTGAATGAAGTATCAGCAGGGATTTACCTGCATACAAATCGTAGTCTACAGACTTAACAAATAAGATTTGTTTGCAACTGATCATCTTTAAAAGGCACTATAATAATCTAAATTCTTTTTTTAATGGCAATGAGAAGTTTAATGAAAAAAATTACTTATCTCTCGAATATCGTGAACAATTTCGCATTTGCAATATCATTCGAAATATTGCAAATGAGTATTTTTTTGTGTATCAAATTGTCTGAAATCCTTTATGTCAGTGTAATATCTGCATTAGTCCATCGTATCTGTACGTTTGGCTATACATTTAAACAGCCTTTAGTGTATATTCTTCATACCTTCTTACAGAAAAAGCCTGACCTGGAAGACATGCAGTGTGTTTGCCATCAGACCACATGGACACAGATATAATGTATATACAGCTTAATAGCTTGCAAGCTAAGCAGGAGAGAGAGAGACCCTCTGGCAGTATGTCCGATACACTAACATGCCTTGACCTGAAAACAACAAAGCTAATGATATTTTAACTCAAATGTATACAGTAGTAGCAGTCCAATGCTCTCTCCCCAGAGGATGCCAGTCACGCGCAGAATTGACGCTTTGTTTGGCGTGTGCAGCGCCGAGTGAAGCGCAGGGAAGCGGCGAGTCACGAGAGGCATGCATCACGCCAAGTGAAGTGGATAAAGTACACCAATGACCGATCTACTCTACTGTGCAATATCGGGCCTCTTCACCGCCGGCGAACACACAGCGGCAGCACGAACCGCTGTGTGTGAAAGGGAGAGGGTTTCATGCCAATCAAAACAAGATTGGCATGCTCATTCAAGAACTTTCTCTCATGGGAGGAAACAGGAGAGACGGCCATTTCAAGCTACTGTACATCATATTGTAGTGTATAAAAGTACACTATGTTTATGTGTTGAGTAGATTTGTATATATTAGAGAGTATTCAAATGTATTATGATTTAAAAGTGTTAAGATACTGAATATACTTTCAGTATCTTAAACCATTTTCTCAAATCTATCTATAGGTATCTATCTATCCATCATCCATCATCCATATGCGGCAAGTGTGCTCACAGAAAACAGGTGAGGATATTTGAACTCAAGGTGTGTTTTGTTTCAAGAGAAGGAGCTCATAAACATTATCTCATTTCATGAAATGCACCAGTTGGAGATATTGTCAAACAAAATGAATACAAAAAAAGACTGAGAAAGAATTGTTGAATCACACATTGTGTTCGTTATCTCTGGGATGTGAAACAAATGCTGTGCATGTACGTCAGGTCAGGCCCAGGCAGCGCAGGAACTCTTTGCCTCTAGCACCCTGGGATAGCATCTGATCATATTTATGCACACCAACTGCAGTAAAAGTCCAAACACCAGACACATGAATATTACCTAAATGTGGGCCGACATTAGGAACTGTTTAAACATCTCCTAAACAGACAGACGACTTTGTTTATACAGGGGAAGATGTTTCTTTTCTTCCTCCTCTCTGTGAGGGAAGCATGCAGTCACGCATGAGCAGAGAATGGTTTTTTAAATTGCATATGCTTCACATGGCACTGGGAGTGGGAGAGGGGCGGGGGGTTTGCGTGTCTGGCCCTCCGCCAGTTGACAGCTCAGCTGGATATCGTTGAACACTCCGAACCCCCCTGCCTCGCAGCGTGTCACTTTGGGATTGTTTCCTCAATAGAAAGTTTATTCAACCTCTCTCTCTCTAAAGGCAGTGGACCAGCCATCCGTTCAGCTATTTCATCAGGGGACGGACAGGTTATTTTTCTGACAGGCCCGGGGCTGCTGCGCAATCCCTAATGAACAGCTTGATACAAGAGGAATTTTCTGACCGTTTTTTTAGCCTCAATTAATTCTGCTGTCCAAACAAATGAAGGCCACCACTCCCTGGACGCAGCGTCTGGACACAGGGGTCACCGTGTGTGTACACACAAACACAGCAGAGGTTAAGCCTTTGTGTGTGTGACCTGACGTAATGTAGTACCAATACAGCGACCAGGGGAGTAATTGTATATTTAAGACAGGGCTTCAAAATGTAAACATGCAATGCATACACACACACTCCCCTCCCCCCCCCCCCCCAGATACCCAGCGACTGACTGGATCTGATGAGGGATCTCATATTATTAAAAATGTCAAAAACGGTCTATGGTACATGTATTCTGTCCATAGTGTCTGTTCAATGAAAACAAAGTTGGATCTATTCTAATCTTATTAGATTGGACTGACTAAACAAGTAAACAGTGATCATGTTTCAGAGCTCCTACACTGCTACAACTATCAATGAATGAGCTGGAGTGTGTGTGTGTGTGTGTGTGTGTGTGTGTGTGTGTGTGTGTGTGTGTGTGTGTGTGTGTGTGTGTGTGTGTGTGTGTGTGTGTGTGTGTGTGTGTGTGTGTGTGTGTGTGTGTGTGTGAAAAAGAGGGAGACGAGGGGGTAGAGCAAGAGGAGTCTGAGGAGTATTCCCGTGATTATTGTGGCATGACAAAGTTTACACAAGAGTCATTGTTGGGCTCTGACCTCCTGAAAGGTTGTTCTGCCTGCTTAGTCTGCGCAGAGCAAAGCCCCCAGTGTGTCACATGCTTACTGGAATGCCAAGCCTGCTACCTTTACAGCAGATTACTATGATTGCCTGTGATGGCGCTCTCTTACTTCTAATTGCCCCTCTCTATACATCCCTACCCTCCCCAAGAGGCAGGGACAGGCACGCTCACTTATTTACTCACAACACAAATATTTGTTATTAGAATATAAGATAAAAGATTCTTACCTGGTCTCTCCTTGCCCGTTCCTTTGCTCTCGGCCAGCTTCTGTATTAAACTGTCCACTGAGGTGTTCTCAACGTTCCTCACAAATTCATTCTGGACCTACACAATCCAAAATTAAAAAAAATCATTAATAATTACATTTTGTGTAGGTAAAACAAAGCAACAATGACAAAAGAAAACATGTAATGGTTCAATAAATGTCATCATAGTGGCCTTTACAAGGTATTCCTCTTGTTTGTGGACATATTGTTTTTAATTCATGTGGATTTGCTGCAACTATATCATCTCTGTGCCATTGTCATCACATTGTGTTTTCTGTATTATTTTTACACTGATATGAACCTGAGGTGTCTTAAGTAAAGTTATTTGTAATATGTTCTGACAGTTGCCTTCACTTTGAATAAAAAAAGAAATCAAAAAAAAAAATTCTGCACCATATATGTGTGAATGTTTGATTAATTGAGTGTCTTGTTGAAAGACTTACACATTTAATTGTTTGATTTATTTATTATTTATACTCACCGCAATACATAAGTTATACACATTTTTGTGAGCCTTGTACTGTTGTCCAATTCACACACACACACACACACACACACACACACACACACACACACACACACACACACACACACACACACACACACACACACACACACACACACACACACACACACACACACACACACACACACACACACACACACACACACACACACACACACACACACACACACACACACACACACACACACACACACACACACACACACACACACACACACACACACACACCACACACACACACACACACACACACACACACACACACACACACACACACACACACACACACACACACACACACACACACACACACACACACGGTTAATAACTATATCCTAGTGCTGGCAGCAGTTATTTTAAAACACACCAGCAGAGATGGAACAACACAATACATAATGTATGGTGGTTTGCCAGGCATGCTGTTAGCCTGAAGAATGATAGATTGTTTTAAAGTCAGGCGATAGTTGAATAGAACAGAAAGAAACACTTTTGTAACTGCAATAAATCTATTAAGTCTTGTTCTTGTCAGCTACATACATTACATAATGTGATTATGGACACTTTAAACCTGCACTAAGTGAACTCCTTAGAGCAGGAGTAGACTTACAAATCGGTATGTCACGTTCAGAGATGGGGTCGTTACTAAAAAAAAAAGTAATATATTACATATTACTTTATAAAAAAAAGTAATATATTACACTACTCGTTACTTTACTCGTTACTTTACTCGCAGGGCCGGCCCGCCCCTCCCTACAGGCAGATCATGCAGACTGCGGCGCACCTACAGTGTAAGCGCGCCACAGTTTTGATATGCTCTTTAATAAAATAGGCTACCAGCCTACCACAACAAGCTAACAGTCTGTGAAACGTAAAGAGCATTTCAAGAGAAACATTGTAATAACGGAACAAGTGGGCCATATCAATGTGATGTGACACTGGCAAAATAAACAAATACTTTACAAATAAATAGCCTGTATAAAACTAACTGTGTAAACCTTAGCTGTTAGCTTCACCTTAGCATGTGTTCTTTGCAGGTGTGTGTTGAGGTTTGACGTGGTGTTTCCAGCAGTGGATAACAGCTTCTGGCCTGGACACAGTTTGCACCTCACCGTCACATTCCTGTCTGTTCTTCGGACGAACTCAAAATAATGGGCATACCTCCACCCCTCGAAAGTTATCGCTGACTCAGCCATGTTTATGCAGCACTGCACGTGGAGATGTGGACGCACAAGTCGCGCAGATTACGTACATATAAACCTGCGGCGGAAACCCCTCTTGTCTGTTAGTGTGATTATGACTGATTTTATAAAAGTAACAAAGTACGCGTGTCGGGGGCAATGTTAGTAACTGTAGTGTGATTACTGATTATAAAAGTAGCGCGTTAAACTACTCCGTTACCGACAAAAGTAATATTATTACAGTAACGCGTTACACTCAACTCTGGTCACGTTGATAATGTTTTAGTTTTTCGCCAAAGTTTAATAGCAATCTACTGTAGTTAGATAGGGTCTTGTCGCTTTAGCAAGCCTGGTCTACTTGGCGTAGTGTTTCCTGACACCAGGATACGTAGCCTGCACGCCATCTGTTGAGGCCGCCCCACGGTGCTTGCGTAATTGGCCCCGGAGAGATATGCTGTACTTTACTGAGTTTATTTTGTGTCAGGTTGAATCATTGTAGTTGGCACTATGGTCAGCTGAAGCCCTTTGGGCAGTATCAGAGGAAGGATAGTGTGTGTTTGCTTGTTTGTTTTGGATGTGCATGGGCTTGTGTGTTTACTGAGGGGGAAGTGAAAGTGGCGTATAGGCATGGGGATGGAGAACAGCGTCTAACTGTGCCATCTCACCAAACCATTTAGATGTGCGTGATACTGTAAGCGCAGAGTGGCTCCACCATCAAACAAACACACACACAAAGACACACATATGTGTCTGCCCCCCAGGCCCCTGTGGAGAGGTGGAGTGCATTAGCCTTCTGTGCCCTGGCAGGAGAGGATGTTGGGGGGAGATGTGTGTGTGTGTGTGTGTGTGTGTGTGTGTGTGTGTGTGTGTGTGTGTGTGTGTGGGGGGGGGGGGCAGGAGGGAGGATGCATGGTGAGGAAGTATGCTCGATGCAGCACGCGATCTGTCAGGTGCTGCTGCCATGACGGAGGGCAGTAATGTCAGCAACCTGCGTGCCCCGCTTGCCCCTCTCTCTCACACACACACACACACACACACACACACACACACACCTCGTCCCATGGAGACTTTCGACCACATGCTCAAAACATGCCTCTGCCTTCAAGGGAGACACACACACACACACAAAAAACAAACAGAGCACGCAAACCTCACAGACACACCTGCCCTGAGTTACTTCTCTGCACTTCTTCATACGTATACAGAGGTGGGAAAAGTACCAGAGTGTAGGAATACTCTGTAACAAGTACACGTCCTGTATTCAAAATGTTACTCAAGTAAAAGTAGAAAAGTGTTAAATATATAAAAGTAGTAAAAGTAGTCGTTGTGCAGATTGCTCTATTTCAGAATAAAATATATGATATGTTTTATAATGATTGATCATTAAAGTGTTTCTCAAAGCTGGTAAAGGTGCAGCTAGTTTAAAGGTCCCATGAGACATGGCCATTTCTACTGATCGTAATTCCATTGTTGAGGTCTACTAGAATAGTTTTATATTGTGCAATTTTCCAAACTCACATTGGTTTCTCAAACAGCATCTCTGTATAGTATGTGTATTCACTCTCTGTCCTACACGGCTTGTTGGAGCTCCTGCCCCCCAAACCCCCCCCTCCCCCTCCCCCTCCCTATGAGCCCAGTGGCCGTCTGCGAGACAGCGAGACACAGCGAAACCCAGCCCAAACACACAGACCCGCAGTTGGACCAATCCGCGGACTTCCTCACACACACTTAACCTAACGGCTCCGCGGACGTAACAACTCCACGGATTGGTCCATTTGGGTATGGGCACGTCACTGTACCCAGGAAGTACAAGAGAAATCTCCAACGACGCGTTCTGGGGCAGCATAGACAGGTCTTTTCTGTGTTAGAGTTTTACTCGCTACAGCACGCCTATTCAAATGGCGGCCCGCGGGCCAGATGCGGCCCAGAACAAACTCCCCGAGTGGCCCAGCCTCCCGTGGCCAAATTCCTACACTAGTACATATTATGAACGTAGGAACCACCAAACCACAACGCAGCACGTTTTTTGAAAGTGCATCTAGTGGTGCTAGTAACGGTGGTCCTGTGGTAGCAACTCTAAAACATGTCTCTCTCAACTCTGAAGCGTAAACAGAGACAAAACGGTCATCGATGTTGTGGAGCAGATGCGCGAGTCATTGCCCAAGTCAAGCTGGACCTTTTCGCGACCGACTTGAGTACGGGTCGGATGCTGCATTTTCCGACGCTCCCAAACACATCACATCCCGGCACAAATCACGGATATGATGACAGATTTCATTGCGAGGTTGAAAGAGAACTTTGCCGGTCGATTGGATGGACTTGCTCTGCCCACAGAGGTGATGGGCTTTGCCAGAGACCCCTTCACTGTTGCAATAGAGGGGGGCGTATCCACCAGAGCAAAGGAAGTGGTCCCCTGCATAGACGAGGGGACATTTACACTGGAGCTTATTGACATGCATTCATCCGTAACCATGGCACAAGAGCAGCGCACTAACGGGCCAGCGAAGTTTTGGAGTGATGTCAAAAAACAGCAGTTCCCTAACGTTCAGAAAGTAGCGATCTGTGTGCTCAGTATGTTTGGATCAACATACACATGTGAGTCAAGCTTTTCACACATGAACTCAATCAAAAGTAGCACTCGCTGCTCCCTGACTGACAGCACTCTTCACCAATGTCTTAGGATTGCATTGACATCCTATGAGCCAAACATCACTGCTCTTGTTCAAAACTAAAAATGTCACTTCTCCCATTGAGAAAGTCAGCGATGACAAATCACAAATGAGGTGATAGTAAGCACCTAGTTTACTATAGTAGACGTGTAGTGTAGTATTCATTCATGTTAGTTACCCTTATCCCGTGTTAGGGTTTGTGCACTGAAGGGTTTGACAGTTATTTTTGTATTTAGATGCACTTCGTAATGTGTCAGGTCAAATGTGACCAAAACGTATGATTTTTTTGTTATTACTTGAAAAGTGAAAAAATAGTATTGCTATAGTACTACCTCTTTTTGTTACATTGGAGCTCTTTAACTGTTTGTTAATGCACTTTGAGATGCCTCAGATTCTGTTAAATGAATGCTAATTTGTTCTGTTTTTATGCACTTTTTGACGTACCTTTGTTAGATGAACAATTAATACAAATGGCATGTTTTTCATCGCAGTAATATGTGTTGGTTTAAAATGTGTCATTACCCGCTTTTTACTGGCCGCTGAATGTCTGGCCCAGCTGAATTTTGTAGTTATAAAATCTGGCCCAACTGAATGTGTAATTGAATAGCCCTGCGCTACAGGGTGTACTTTGAGGGTTTGTGACTCTGCAGACCGTTTACATGCAGAAAAACCTTCATAACACACA